AAAAAAAAAAAAAAAAATCAAGAGGGAACAATATATGGAATGAAAATATAATATTAATTTCACCTATCAAATTATAAATTTGCAAAGTCTGGAGGGATGGAGAATAGGATGGCTTAAACACTGCTAACAGGAATGTATCCTCAGTGGTTCTGGTGCCTATCTCACAAAAAGGAGGGCCTGAGTTTGATGCCCAGTACAAAAACAAATAAACAAATAAATAAAATAAAAAAGGGCTGGGGATTTAGTGGTTCTGCCGCTTGCCTTGCAAGCGCAAGGTCCCGAGTTCAATCCCTAGTACCCCCCTCAAAAAAAGAATGTATCAAGAGCTGGGGATTTAACTCAGTGGCCTGCCTCGAAAGTGAAAGGTCCTGAGTTCGATTTCTAAAACCTCCCCCACAAAATCAATTAAACTCTTTTAGAAAGCAATCTGAAAGCCCGTAAGCCTTTGCCAAAAGACTTTGTAATACTTGCATTCTAAAACATATTATCAGTATATGTTTCCAGTATATGATTACAGTCATCATGGAAAGCAAGGACATGTACATAACACATCTTGATTATTCTCACATGCCCTTCTGCTCTCCTCCCCGCCTCTCCTCTCAGCTCATGGTCCCCTTCCCATCTACAGAGATCTATCTCCCTGTTTCCTATTTATCTTTTATTTTGCTCTGTAAATTATTTATGCTTTGGAGCGGAGGTGGTGGTGCACACCTCTAACCCCAGCACTCAGGAGGCTGAGACAGGACAATTGCTGCAAGTTTGAAATCAGCCTGGGCTATGAAGTAGGGCCTGTCTCCAAAAAAAAAAAAAAAAAGAAAGAAAAAGCTTTGGGTTTCTCATATAACAGAAACCATGTGATACTCAAGCTTGCGTGTCTGATTTACTTCACTTAGCATTAGGGTCTGAAGATACACTCATCTTACCTACAAACAACTCATATTTATCCTTCTTTATGACAGAGAAGTACTCCATTGTGTGTAAACACGTTTTCTTTAACTGTTCATCTGTTGATGGACATACATAGGCTGCTTCAAAGACTTAGCTATGAGTTATGCTGCTATAAACATAGCTTTTTCTCTGCCTGGGTAGTAGGTCTTCTCTAGAAACGTTTGTCCATTTTTTCAGGATTTCCTTTATTTCAGAAGAACTTGGCTAAATTGATTATTGCTATTCCCCCTCCTCTTCAGAAAACTCCTCAGAAATTGGGGAAGTTCTTCTGTAGATAACTCCTCTGAATGTTCCTCCACCAGTTCCTCAATGTCACCATAGTCTACCTGCAAGCCTACAGACTCTGCTATAGAGACAGTGTCATCAACTACAGAGACAAAGGAAGGCTCAGGCTCCTCTCTACACAGTCTTCAAAGTCTCTCTCCCATATAATGAAAGGCCACACTTTCTTCCAGGCAGATCTTGGTGTCCTTAGAGAGGCAATGGCCCAGGATTTCTCAATTAGCCCCACATAGGAAAGACCAGCATTCATATTGTAACTCAAGACTTTGGTCTTAAGTTAAAATTAAAACTCCAGACCTAACTAACCCAAGTTGTTCATAGGAGAGTCCACTGTACTTAGGAATTAACCTACCCAGGCAAGTGAAAGACCTCTACAATGAAACCTACAGTACTCTAAAACAGAGATCAGGCCTCATGAATCAGGAAGGAATGGGAGCCT